ATGGGGATCTCCTTGTCATTTACGTCTTCCTATCATCCACAATCTAATGGAGACGCCGAACGAGCAAATCAATCTGTAGAGTTATATTTACGCTGCTTCACGAATGCGCACCAGGACAACTGGTCTCACCTCCTTCCCTGGGCTGAATTCGCCAGGAACACCGTGACTCATTCGTCCACTGGCTTAAGTCCTTTTAAGGTTGCTTATGGGTTCCAACCCTCTGTCCTTCCTGGCGTGTTCTCCGACAAGGGAATACCCGCTTTGGACGAGCACCTCACCTCCTTACGGAAGATGTGGGATCAGGTCCATGCTACTCTTTCTCGTGCGACTGCTACTCAGAAGAGATTTGCTGATCGTCGTAGGGGTGCTGCTCCTTCTTATGTCCCAGGTGATAGGGTTTGGTTGTCCTCTAAGAATCTCCACCTCAGGGCCCCCTCGATGAAATTCGCGCCCAGGTTCCTTGGCCCCTATAAGGTATTGCGTAAGGTCAATCCTGTGTCCTACTCCCTGGCCTTGCCTCCTTCCATGCGTATACCTAACACTTTTCACACCTCCCTTTTGAAGTCCTTGCTCTGTAATCGATTCTCTGGTCCTCTCAGGCGTCCGGATTCCCTCTGCGCTGTCTCTAGTGACGTGTACGAAGTGGCTGCTCTGCTTGATTCTCGTTTTTCTCGGGGTCGGTTGCAGTATCTGGTTGATTGGAAGGGTTACGGCCCTGAGGAGCAGTCTTGGGTTTCTGCCACTTGAATGCGCCCTCTTTGAGCCGCTCCTTTCATGCGCGGTTTCCTTTGAAGCCTTCGGCTTCCCGCCCGTTGGGCGGTCCTCGAGGAGGGGGTTATGTCAGGGGTCCGTGGGCGGCTGTGAGGGGAGGCTGCACGCCACTTGCAGCACTCACCCTCAGTCCGTCGCCACCCGCAGTCCCTCCTCCTCCTACCTGTCAGTGAGCGGCGTCTCCTCTCCGCCGCTCGCCGCTCACGTCCCCCACTCCTCCCAGCGGCAGCATGTATAACGCTGCACGCTGGGAGGTCGCAAATTTATGCAAACGCCAGGGTCATGTGAGTGACCCGGCGTTAAAGCAATAGTACCACAATCACAGTGGGAGGCGTAGATATCTCCCACGTGTGATTGTTAATTCTGATTGGAAGTTATCAAACAAAGGGTATTTATACTTACCTTTCCTGTCGCTCAGTGCCCTGTTGTGGTCTTGTGATACCTGTATTGCAGTTTTCTTGTGTTGCTCTCTGGTTACCGATTATTTGGCTCGTTATTCCGATTATCCTGTCTTCTCCACTCCTTTGACCGTGGCTTGTTTCTCGTTCTCCCATTTTCTGGCTCCCTTTACTTGGCTTGTCTCCTGACTATTCTTAGTGTGCTTATCCCGGCCACTCTAAAGACCGGTATAGCACCCTTCCTCTCTGTGACCTGTTAGCGCGTTAGGTTCCAGAATCGTGACAATATATCTTTACAGATCCATAGGTATGCCCCTCCTCATTCCCTCCGCTCTGCCTGTGACCACCTCCTGACCGCTGTTCGCACCCGTATGACCAACTCGCGCTTGCAGGCATTCTCGCGGGCGGCTCCTTTCCTATGAAATAGCCTGCCTACCCCCATCAGACTCTCCCCTAGTCTTCAATCCTTAAGAAATGCCTTAAAAACCATCTCTTTAGGAAAGCTTATGGCCTCCCAGAGTAACCTCTATCTTACATACCTGTCTTTTGCTCTCTCCTATAGGGCAGCGCTTTACTCTCTCTTCCAGCTCTGCTTCACTCCCACCTTAATTGATTAATATTTCCTGTCCTAACGTGTCTTATACCCCACCTCCTGTAGACTGTAAGCTCGTTTGAGTAGGGTCCTCTTCAACCTATTGTTCCTGTAAGTTTTCTTTTAATTGTCCTATTTATAGTTATATCCTCCCTCTCATAATATTGTAAAGCGCTACGGAATCTGTTGGCGCTATATAAATGACAATAATAATAATAATAACCAAATAAAAACTGTTCACCATCCCTGAAATCATTAGAATAAAAATTGTTTAAAGTATCTTTAAACTATAGTTACGTACAATGTAACAGAAAAGCCAGAATGGAGATTCTCATATACTCAAGATTTGGTAAAACTTTGAAAAGTAGTGCAGAAATATACAGGGTGCAGTGTTGGAGGTCAGTAGGCATTGGGCTTGCTGATGAATATACAAGAAGAGAGGCTGATTATGAATAACAAGTCAGGTAAAGTAATCTTGCAGATATGCTAATGATGTATCAGAGAGAGTATAGGGACAGTCCTAACAGGAATCATTCAGAGTAATCTAGATGGGATATTAGTATAAGTATTTTGTTAGTTCCTGGTTTTAAGAATTGACTAATCCTGGAAATGAAAGGTCCTTGAATGGGATGATGAAGAAGGGAGCTTAACAAATGTAGCGCTGTCAGGATCTTACCTGAGGTGGGAGTCTGAAGCACAGATATGTTTGCTCACCCTTGCAGATAAACATAGTCTAAGGTGACCAGGTAAGAAGCCACCTGGATTGTGAACCTGTGCACGGGGGCTGTGCAAGAAAGGTCCTCCAATACGCAGTACAGACAAGGTCACAAGCAGAAGGATGGTCAAGGTGTAGCCGAAGTCAGAGTGTCAGGGGTGGTGGTCCGATGACCGGGACCCAGTATGCCTGATCTTGATAGTAGGAGTCACTGTATGGAAATGGATTACCAGGGCCTGTCGCAGGGTAACCGCACGCCCCCTGGTGTTGAGCACCAGCGTTTGTTACGGCCACATACCAGGGCCCTGATGCAGCTTCTGCGGATAACAGGTGCCAGGTGACAATAAGCAGACCTCCCAGGATCTGAGTAGGGAGTAGGGAGGCTCTGCAGCAGATATGTATCCAAGTATAACAGGGCTAGAACTACTCAAAAGGTCTGCTGTGGCTCAGAGGCAGGGCCGCCATCAGGGCATGACAACCGTGACAATGCCCAACGTGGATCAGCGGAACTGCCGCCGGTGCATCTGCACCGGGGCCCACACGCTGATGGGGCCCATCAGGTGGCCCAATCATTTAGGGCCACCCAATGGGCCCTATTATCTTCAGGGGCCCGATCAGCGCTGTAATAGCACGACCGTGCCCCTTTAAAAAAAAAAAATGCAGCCGGAAGCAAGTACTGCTGGGAGGAAGTGACGTCCGGTCACTTCCTCCCACTTTACTCCGCGCCGGAAGGAGGACGCAGCCTGAGGAGAGGCAGCCAATGCCCATCATCCCCAGCCACCCTCCTGCGACGAAATGGTAAGGCCAGTGTATGTATGCCAGTGTGTGTATGTGTGTATGCCAGTGTGTGTATGCCAGTGTATGTATGCATGTGTGTATGCCAATGTATGTATGCCAGTGTGTGTATGTATGCCAGTGTGTGTATGCCAGTGTAGGTATGTGTGTATGCCAGTGTGTGTATGCCAGTGTGTGTGTGTATGCCAGTGTGTGTTAGGGGCCCCAAAATTTCTGATGGCGGTCCTGCTCAGAGGCTATATAGCAGGCTCAGAAAAACAAAGGACCCAGGTTCAAATCCCCTGTCTGGCACCTGTGGGGCAGTAACAAGCAGTCAGTTAGCAAGCTAGTGCAATGGAGGATATTGAGGCACATTAACAACTCATTTGGTAATTAGAGTGACAGGTCAGAAGTGGAGAGTTAGATAAGTGTGTCAGCTAATAGATGATTGTGAAATCCCAGGGAAGCAATTAGTTTGTCAAGAGATAATATGGTGCAAGGTAATAGGGTCAAGTAGGCAGTTTGCATGATAAGAAGAACGGAGAAGAGACTTCATACTCAGTGACTCAACTCATGCAGTTGACATGCTTTGGGTGTGAAGTGATGCCAGGTATCACTGTTTTAGTTTTGAGAAGTATGTTTGGACAGCTTTACCAGATGTAGATAAAAATTGATGAGATAGTAGGGGCATAGCGAACCAAGATGACCGTGTAATTCCAAAGCTTGTCTAGACCACAGGCGATAAAACACTATTTCATCAGCAATAACTCTACCATGGACAAGTCATGCAAGGCTACAGAAGTCCACTTGCTGCCCTCAGTCAGGAAATATTTGGCAATCCTGAGGCATCTGACAACAAATTTGCACAAAATTCACATTAGCCACCCGGAATTCTTGTTCTGGGCTGGTTAATGACACCACTTAATTTTGATCTTTGTTTAACAGATAACTCCACTATTTGCTATCTTTATGTGGGATTAGCATATTTTTTTTTTTTTAATTCTTTATTTTCTTTCTGCACAGAGTAACATTCTGGCTTGTAATGCCACAACGACAGAGACAAGCACATTATGAGTTTACATGTAAATACAGTGTCATGGCATAAGAGAGACTTGCACTATTTCTTTATGTTCATAAACAGGCTAAACTATAGGTCTAAACCTAAGACTGGTGAATTATATCAAATAAAGTTAGGCTAGGTTAAGAGCATTGCTATTTAAACCAATAAAAACATAAGCAAAACAATGGTGCTAAGAGAAAAAACATATAGCTGACTGGTGAACCGCGGACCCTGTTTCCTAGAAGTGCTAAGAATGGATAGTGGGGGGGGCGGAGCCTGGATGCAGAGCGGATCAGACGTGCATCGCCTGAGCTCCACTGACTGGGACTGTTAATCGATGATTTACCCGGGCCGCTTGCCAATCCGGACTGTTACCGGCGATCATCCCAGACAAGGGAACGACGGTGCATCCAGAGATACCAAATTTAAGCTGATAGCAAAAAATATATAGAAAATGGCGCTAGAGGATAAAGTGAATGAAAGGTGCTGCTATACCCAAGTATATCACCACTATATATACTTAGAGAGAATACAATAAAACGTAGAGAAAGGTAAAAGCGCACACAGAACAAGGAGGTCTTTACCTGACGTGTTATAAATAACTGGTAAGGGGTAACTCCTCCTTATATACAATATGTATATACAATGTAGATATTGCCTATACAAAAAATACAAACACAGAACAAAACATAGTGTGGTCTGTATATAAAACACAATAAGAAGGATAATAATTTCCAGCTCATAATTTCCTTCTTATTGTGTTTTATATACAGACCACACTATGTTTTGTTCTGTGTTTGTATTTTTTGTATAGGCAATATCTACATTGTATATACATATTGTATATAAGGAGGAGTTACCCCTTACCAGTTATTTATAACACGTCAGGTAAAGACCTCCTTGTTCTGTGTGCGCTTTTACCTTTCTCTACGTTTTATCAAATTTAAGCTGTTTCGGCACCGGAACGCTGACAAATCAGGCTTGCGGTCTACACAAGCATGGGCAGAGGAGAGACGGCTGCTCTCTGAGTCCTTCACCCGGCAGAGTGAATATTGCTCCAAGCTGTCCCCCTGCCACCCCTCTGTACCAGTGTGGGTCATCCCGGTCTCCCCCTGACATACCCATCATATACCAGCCGGCTACAAGAAGCCATCCTGAAGCGTGATTAAGCAGTTGCTATCACTCCTGACAACTCAAAAATTTGCAACAACACTCCAAAACACATTTGAGCGTCTACTCCATAGTGTAGACAGGCTCTTTGCAAGCTTCTGGGCAAAATTGGAGGCTCTTGGTAAGGAGACACCGCGCCAGAACAAGGAGGAAGACCACAGTAGTAAGCAGCGGGAGGTGAGCGGGCCCCAACTGGGCAAACCCCTTCGTCGAGCACCTGGAACTGCTCAAGTAGGCCGTCTGGGCTAAAGACCACCAGGGATACACTAGCCCTGCATCTGCCATGGAGGCTGAAGAACCCTGCCGCCAGCGACGGCATAACAGCAGGAGCTCCAGGTGTCCCTTAATTGGGAGAGACTTGACCTCGAGTCAGAGACCTCGAGTCTGTGGCCCCGCGATGCCGGTCTTCACCATGGCCCGGGGCTGGAGGGTCCAGACGCTCAGCTTCTGCATTGAACAACCCATAGACAGCCACCACACATCACCAAGCCGATGCTGGACTCTCTGACCAATGCCACCCTCATTCTGACATAAACATGCCTGATAACAAGGCTCGAAGTGTTTGTGTTTCATTCTTTGTGTTTCATTTTTTTGTGTCCTCTCTTTATTTTCATAATGATTCTAATGATGCTGTCGCTAGGAGTCCTGTAATAACATGTGTAATGCAGCTATAATTCAGGGAGTATAGCCTTGGGGGTTAAATGTATTAACCCAGGGCCGGCCTTAAGGGTGTATGAGCTGTGCGGCCGCACAAAGCGCCATGGAACAGGGGCACCCTGTGGCCGACACAGCTTGCACATGGCCGGTGTCAGTGGAGCTAAAACAGGTACCCGGGTGGAGGATTCATTATTCTCCATCCGGGTCTATTAAAAATTATTTTTTTTAAATCGCGGCAGCAGGGGAAGGGCTTAAGACCGGCGGAGGCCGAAGGCCGGGCTAATACATACCCGAAGCCCCTGCACAGGAAGAGGGATGAAGGAAGGACAACAACCAAGTGCATCCACTCCCCCTTGCAGCCAGAATGGAAAGAGGTAAGTCAATATGTCTGTGTGTGTGTGTCTGCCTGTTGGTGTGACTGCCTGCCTGTGTGTCTGCATGCGTGTGTGTGTGTGTGACTGTCTGCCTGTGTGACTGTCTGCCTACCAACCTGCCTTTGTGTGTGACTGTCTGTCTCTCTGCGTGTGTGTGCCTGCCTGTGTGTGTGTGTGTCTGACTGACTGCCTGCCTGTGTGGGTGGGGACGGGTGGTGACTGTCTGTCTGCCTATGTGTGTCTGCCTCCCTGCATGTGTGACTGTCTGTTGTGTGTAACTGTTTGTGATTGTGTGCCTGTAACTGTGTGTGACTGTCTGCCTTTAACTGTGTGTTTGGCTTTGTGACTGTCTGCCTGTAACTGAGCATGTGTGACTGTCTGCCTGTAACTGTGTGTGTGTGTGACTTTCCGTTTATTGATCAGCGTGAATTCACTCTCACAAAAAAAAAAAATACAACGGTGCAGTTATATTTTATATTATAGTTGATTTCTTGGCTGCATGCCTCTATCTGAGTACACTCTACACTATGTTAAGGCAATCCTGTGGTTCTCCCCCACTAGTAACATTGCACAGGATCACCTAAACAGCATCTTTCATAACACACATTTTATGTACACGCACCATGCTTAAACTCCAGCAGAACATCCTAATTAACGTGTTTTACTCTTGCCTATACTGAAGGATAGTCAAGCATGTTTCTATCTATTATCCTGTACCTAGCCTGATCTAATCTATGTTATTCCCTTGTAACACAGTTTTGCTCCATTTACCTACTAATGAACACAGCAGAATTCCATCAGTTTATATATGGAAAAAAATGTGCAACTACTCACTGTCCAGCCTGTATACATTTATACATTTATTTTATACATTGGTGTAGCTAATGGTCTGGAAGGCAGCGCCCTGTCCGAGGTCCGCAGTGTTGTTTTGCTTCTTATGGCGGGGGTGAGCGGTGGCTAGTTGCCCCACAGCTATGACTTAAATTTATTGGTGAACAGCAGGCAAGTATCCCGGTGTGCTTCTGCAGCGTCTTGTCCTGATTTCAGGGTGACATGCTCGGCTTAACTTCAGCCAAAAATCAGCAAATATTTGGTCGAGCCATGCCAAGCTGGACTCCAGTGGACCCAGTGTAGTGGGTGGATGCGGATAGGTTGCCAACTTAACAGAAGCAGTATTGAAGTCGCGTGTCATTGTGGTGTCAGGGCTCAGATATCTCCAGGGAATACTGTAGTGTCACCGGGAATACTATCTCCACCGCTTGCACCTCCAGGTAGGCCGCAGAGTTCCTTCTAGTTCTGGTCAGCCCTTGTGTGCCTAAAAACAGCAGGATTCGGCTGAGACGTATCTGGCTTGTCTCAGGCACAGATATTGAGAGTTTCTTCAGGGGAATGAACATTAGACTTGTCGAGATTAAAGTTTAGCACATGGAGCTCACTCAACATGCGGCCAGACAGCATGGCAGTCAGGCCCCGCCCACGGGATTAGCATATCTAAGGACACCAAACAAGGGAGCTATCTGCTAAACAGTGCCCTAAATAACCACAGATACACATAACTACAGATATACACATAGTCACACACACACAATCACAGACCTATACATACAGTCACATACATGTAATCACACCACACTGAGTGAGCTGTGCGAACACATGGCGCCCCTGTTGCCATGGCGCTCTTTGTGATCTCACAGCTTGCACACCCTAAAGGCTGGCCCTGGTTGCACCCCTCGCAGTTGTGCATGAGACAAGTGCCTCACTCGTCTCACCCTTTCTACGGCTCTGTGCCACAGCTTAGGTTTGAAAACTGGGAAACAGTGTGTAGTATTAGAAGCAGCCATCTCAAGCACCCGAGAGCAAGCAACTAATGTATTATATACATATAGTGTTAATGTGGCTTTGAGACAACTAAGTTTGGTGATATGTTATCCTAGCAACCTACTTTTCTACCCTACCCTTACCTTTTGTGTCATATTACCCCACTCCCTCTAGCATCTAAGCTCAGTGAGCAGGGCCCTCAACCCCTCTGTTCCTGTGTGTCCAATCGTCTGATTACAATTACATGTCTGTTATTCCACTCATTATACAGCACTATGGAATTTGTTGGTGCTTTACACATAATAATAATAATAATAATAATAATAATAATAATAATAATAATCGAAATGTAGGAAGTTCATTGCTAAGTTGGAGTGGATCAATGTAACAGATGTTTCAGAAGATTTGTAAAAACCTTTTAACTCATGAGTACAAAGGGGGGGCATGATGAGACAACAGTTTAGGCAGTTGTGGTCAGAATGAGGGAAAGGGTGATTGAAGGGTGAATTGAGAAACTCTACGGAGATTGAAAATTAACAGTTACCATCCCAGTGTGTTGGAGAACATGTCCACTTTGACCTAAAATTTGGAATTGACTTTGAATTCCTGGAGATTTAGATTTAATGAATAACTCTATGATTGTTAAAGTCTTCCAGCATAAGCACCATTGTTGGAAGTTTAAAAACTAGAGAGATTGCACCAAGAGGACAATAGATGGCTGTGATGGATGGAGAGAAGGGCCAGGGGGTATGCACTGAAATGTGCACTAAGATGATACATACAAACCTATATAATCACCCCCTCACTGTCTATACATTCGGTCCGGTGAAAGGACGGAGTGTATACTGTTGGAAATGTGACACAAGACTGTTACTAAGGATATTAGTCATGTTTCAGTGCATGCTATTAAAAAATAACGAATTAAACTCAATTTGTTGCATACATATAATGATCACGAGATGGGATTGCGGTATAGGGGTAAGAGATGAACTTACGGGTTGCCAGTTTCAACCAATCAAGATGTGGAGTGGAGGTGTGTGCCAGATAACCCCTGTATACAAGCTCAAGAAATTTAAGTCCATGAAGAATTTACCGACAGAAAGATATTCTTCACAAATATAGCAATATTATATTAAGCTCAGACCCATGTACATCATTACACACTTTTGTCATTCTCTACCAACCATTGCTAGCCAGCCTGAATCAAAGATTCTGACTACTGGTGGATGCTTGAGAACCTTTCCTTGTATTTCACATTATTAAAAATGAGAACATAAATTAATTTACTCATGTGAAACAAATCTTTATTCTTATGAAATATCCTTTATCAACATTAAGACCCATCACATTTTAATCACACCCTAGATACACTAAGACCCACCACCTTTTAATCAGGCCCTATGTACACTATAAAGACCATAGAAACACTCAATCGCATCTTGATCAAACTGTACAAGCACTGAGGCTCATCACATCTTAATAGATAAAGACACGTAATTTGTTATTACAAAAGACGTTTGATGTATAAGAACACCAGGTGAAGAGCACCATGCCCAAACAAACTTACAATATAAAAGGATGAGGGACAAATTCACAAAGGTCCATGAGTGATTCAAATAATTTGGATATATCTGAGGGTAGGTGATTGGTGTAAGGCAGCACAGCAGATCGGAGACAGAATAGGAAGGTGGTTTAGTGACAAGGCTTCTCTAAAGAAGTGTGTTTTTAAGAATCTTTTTGAAGGATTGCAGATGTGAGGAGAGTTAAAT